TTTCAATTAAAAAAAAAAAAAGCAATACAATAATCAGGAAGTATAATCACAGAATAAGTGTGTGACAGAAAGTGGTGTCTATAATCACAGCTGTCTTAAAGTCCAGGCTAGAGACTAAAAATCTTAATTTCAACTAGTTCTTTTCTTAATAATAGGTTACCTTCCTATAAAAGCAAGAAGTCCATCTGCCCCAGGCAGATAAGTTTTGAAGCATTAATTCAGATAAAAATCTAGCATTTTCTTTCTTTCTTTGAGTATGTGAATTCTAGTGTACTATAATGTGAGAATTCCAACATATGACCATTATGGCATAATATCTCATTGCTCAGCTTGTCATTATTTCATTTGTAATTCTTATGTTAATTATGTTCATAATTACTATAAACAGATGTGGTAGACATTCATGTGACCTTTTATTGCAGAATGCATTCCTCACTCATTTTGCTTTAATTTCTCATGTACATGAAGCTGAAATGCAGAAAAAAGAAAAAGCCTTTCTAATTTTCTAATGTTTTAAATGCAAAAGTTAAAACAGAACCTACCTCTACCTCATCTGCATTTCAGAATATCAATATATTCTTAACATTTAAGCTGCTTTATAGCACATTTCTAAATTGCACACTGAACCTCACTGCTGCTTACTAAATTGTAGCTCTGGATGCCAAACAAAGGCTAGCATCCATCTCTAAGTTGTTTGTCTTCTTTTTTCCTTAATATATCAAAGGTTAATGCAGCAGAATTGTGCTTCAAAACCAAGTGCCTAGCAGCTACATAGCGATTTATTCACTCATAACTCAACCATCATCCTCTTTACATAAAACACATTTACAATAAAATCAGTATGGATTTCAGTAGCTGAAAACCTCCTCGAATTTCATTTCTTTGGCCCTAATCTATAATTAGTGTGGACAGACAGGTGCAAACCCTTCTCTTCTACAGATGGCTACTGGAAATGGTGCAAAGTAGCTCCTTCTGTTTAAACAACACAGAGATAACCTGCTCTGTCTTATCACTTACAATTACCTCCATTAAACTGAACTAATGTTTGCTTTAATAAAATGTTCACTGTTCTTTAAACATTATTTAGGAACTCTTATATTAATGGCTGTAAAAAAAGTGAAGTTGGAAGGTGTCTCTTTAGATAATAATAAATARCTTACTCTGGATGAAAGGTCCCCATTGATGGATAATTCTGAGGTTCACAAAGGTTTTTAGTTGATTTAACATTGGTTAGTTACTTCACATAAATAAGGTCAAATATACATTTGAAAAGAGCATTCAGGTGATAAATATAATTTCACATGTAGAACGGTGGGAAACATTTTTCCTGAAGTCTAGAACTATGAAAGGTTCAAATTTTGAGTATGGATTTGGGATGTTATTGCTAAGTATATAACTCCTAAAAGTTCTAGATAGTTTTAAAAGAATATTTATGTTAACCCAATTTTATGTATTTGTTTAACTTCTGATAGATTATTCTTGACGTTGATTGAGTTCATTCTTTTAAGACACATTTAAAGAATTAACTATGAATCTAAGTGCACTCTGCAAACACATGGTTAAAAATAACTCCATTCCATAATAAATAACTTCTATAAAGCCAGAGCTCACTGCTCCCTGCTTCTGCTATCAATAAAGCCTGTGGATCACTATATGATGAATAAGGTGCCCATAAAATAAAGAATTTTTAAATGCCAAAACAGCAACAAATAAATAGCCTTTCTCACTGAACTTACATAACTTACAGTAATAGGCTCCAGCAAAATGCAACTGACTCGGTTTTTTTTTCACATGCAAATCCTGCAGGTGCCAATTTTTCAGACTGCTTTGCTATGAAGGGCTATGTTGCCTGCATAAAACCTCAATGAGGAAGGCTTTGCATTCAGTGCCTGTCAGCTGATGTTCATATCAAAGAAGTGAGAAACAGGATTTGACAGTGAAGAATGTCCTAAACTGACAACCACTGACCAGCATTCCTATTGGAAGCATTTCTTTCTCCTGATCCCTTTTCAGTGTTTAAGGGAAAAAAAAATGGTGGGGGGAGCTAAGCTTCTATATTACAATAAAATAAATTATAATGGCACCTTACATTTGTGCAGTTCTTTGCTATTTATGAAATACTCTTTTATCTGGAAATATTTCAACCAACACCTCGATGAGAGAGCTTATCATCAAATACTAACACCAAGAGCAATAATTTGCTTCTCTCAGAAAAAAAATTGTGAACATATTTTTTTTTWAAAAAAGCTTCATTCCTATAGCTGAAATGTTACTGTCCTACTATTTCAAGCAACTTGGAATTTAATATGCAGTTTGCATTGTACTGTGGACAGAATACTTCTTGTTAGGAAGGTCTTTTTAAAGCTTTTATAATCGAATTATTAGCAGGTATTAGCGAGTCAAAGAGACTTGGTATAAAGGAAAATATCATTTCAAAGACTTCTGGTCTGTTTTGAGTTGTCCAAACSTTAGAGAGAGGGGAAAAAATGAACCGTTTTCTACACATTGCTTTTATTAGGTATGAATTGGACACTGGAGAAACTATACACTGAAATTCTCCCACACAACATTTAGGTTTTCAAATAAAGCGACTGCTGTTCAAATGGTTTATAATTACATTACTGATGCTTACACAAAAATTTAATATAAAGTTCTTCCATTATATAATCTTAAATTCAATTTCTGTGTACTCCAAATGAACCTGATTCCTTGGCTATTTTATTGGAATTCTGTTTTTTGAAAGAATTAATAACAAATGCTAAATATAGCACTAGAAAGGATAGATTTTAACTCCCTCAACATCCATTCTGGCTGGAGGGTGGGGGGAAGCCTGAATCAAACTAAGATTCTCTGATTAACACTGAGTGAGATTGTTAGAGCTCTCTGAAAAGGTAATAGTAAAAAGAAAAAAGAAATGAAATCATAGAACCCTATCTCAAACATCTGACAGCACTGTAATGTTAAAACTAGACTTAAGGATAAACAAGGGGAAAGGCATTGAATTAGGAATTTGCTTCTGTTTATGCATCACAACTGAAAGAAACACCCAAATATGGGCTAAGATGGTTTAAGAAACAATGATGTTTGTTGATCTTGTCTAAAGAACTGTGTGATGAGAAACTGGACACAACAGAATACTCACATGGTCTAGGCAAAYCGCTGTAATAAACTAAAAGGAGGCCCCCAACACTAACAAACCGTTTATCACTAAGAAGCTGGTCAATTTGTATTCTAGGGAGTGTGGGCTCACTGGGCACAAACCCAGTTCCACTCCTGTTCTATGCAAAGCAGGGGAATGAGCCACTGAGTGCACTTAAAAATGGTACAGATGTTTAAATGGAGACTAGGAGGGGAAAAAATCCTGTAAAACACATTTCAGTTCACACAGAAGGTAGAAAGAATGCTTTGGTCAGCAACCCGACCTTTATCAGGAGATAAATCAATTTGCAGCAGCTGTGGACAGCCATTTATATACAGGCCCTGGGCAGATTAATTAAGGGGAGTGAAGTTAAAAATTCAAGAAGGCTCAGAGTTACATTAAGCACATGAAGTTGGTCTGGAGTGGCCTCTCCACCTCTCCTGGTCCTCACTCCCTCGCCCTGTTCTCCRTGGCTGTTCTGCAAGATCTCCTCCCAGGGAAATACTAGCTATTCCTTAGGAGACCTTCTTCTGCAAATTTCCCCAAGCAACAGCAACCAGGCTGGGGCACACTGAAATTTGTGATGCCCAATCTTGAAGGAAAACTAAAAAAAGATTTCTCCACTACGTTTTGCAAGGAATAAGGAGACCAAGGGAAAGCAGGACTCTCCAGCCAAATCTTCCAAACTGAAAGGCCTTTTGGGGGAAGAGGAGGAGGGAAGGCGGCTATTTTTAGTAACGGTGGTGGTTCACATCCTACTTCCCGGAATCATAATACTCAAAAACTTTTCCAAGGGTTGACTGCCCTTACAAAAAAAGAAAAAAGTTATAAAAACGGATTTAGGCGCCTTCGGTTGGCATAACCGTATTTGTTTAAAGCATCTTGGTCAGCGCAAGGTCCGCCCTGAGAGAGGGGTCTGGGTGTGCCAACCAACCCAATCCTTWTAGGTTCTTCAGGAGGGCTGCGAGCGACTGGGCGTGGGGCTCCTATCCATGAGCCCCGGGGGCTTTACCAGAGGGATTTCTGGAAAATGAAAAGAATTCTCAGGACACGACTCCCATCTGTGCCCCGCCGGGCACACGGCACAAGGTTCTCCCCGTGTAGGAAAGGAGGACGCCGCCGAGTTGAGGCTGCGATGGGAACACCAAGAGAGTCGGGCCCTGGGGCTCAGTGAAGTCCCGCAGAGGCGGCGGTGCCCWAGCGTTCCCGGCTGCGGAACCCCTGACCTGCCCTGGGAGTCGCCGCCCTCCCGCTTGTCCACAGTCTTTCTAGAGGAGCACCGCAAATGCCCAAGAGTAACTGGAAAGTTCGGAGAGAGCCTGGATGCCGCTAAGAGGACCCTCTACCCTAGTGGCAGCCCAGTCCCAAAGTTAAGATTCCATCTCTCTTGTTCCTACAGCTAARTTTGCCACCGGCAAAACCAGCATTTCATTTTCAGTTTTAAAACCCCACGATGCGGGGATCGGGCCACCTGCCAAATGCACAGTGGGGCACCTTGACTAGTTGTTTTGTTGGGGGGGGGGTACACTTATCTTCCTGCTCCCACATGATTGTCAAGGAAAGAAAATAAAAATTATTTTTAAAAGGCAGTACGGGGAATCTAAAAGTAAAACCCGCATCCTTAGCTGACCCGTGAAGTTCAGTGTCATCGCAGACTGGAGTCACCGGCGATGTTCCTCTTTGCCCTAGTGCGCAGTCCTACCCTAGTTGAGCGATAAGTACAGCCTGGAGCCTTTGGGTCGAATAATCCAAACCAAGTTGACGGTCATCGGAATAGTAATTAATAGTATCAGCCAAGGTCTAGTCCCAGCCGCCAGCCATCCCTCCCGCCCGCCGGCCCAGCCCACCCGCGGGCACTTACACTGTACAGGGCCGGAGAGTCCCACCATCCGCCACGGGCTCCGAGCTGCAAATAAAACTTCCTCTCGTCTCTGCCGGCCCGTGGGGCAAAGGGGCAAGGGTGCAACGCGGCTTCCCTTGTGAGGCCAGAGTGTCCTCAGTCACTCGCCCACTCGCGCTCGCCGAGAGGCCGCGGAGTCGCGCCGCCGAGCGCCTGCGGCTGTCCCGGCGCTGCGCAGAGMGAGCTGCGGTGCAAAAAGCCCGGGGTCGGGGACGCCAGCCAAACGCAGCCTCCACGCAGAGCCCAAGACTTGCGGAGCTCCGCTCCCCTCCTCCCGCCTCCCTCCCTCCCTCCCTCCCTTCGCTTTTCTGTTGTTGCTGCTGTGGCAGACAAATGTGATGTGGGGCGCAGGGAATTGCCACTGTCACAGGCGGCGTCTGCGTCTGCCTCGCCCGCCCTAGCTCACTCTCGAGGAAGGCGACGCATTTATCTGCAGGGCGGCCAGGCGTCCGCCGGGGAGCAGGAGCGCCGCGCGCTGTGCGCCGAGTGCGCCCGCACCAGGCCGGCTCCGGCGCGCGCCCGCGCCCAGGGCGCCACGGCCGCTCCGGAGGGAGGCGGCGGCGCGGCCGCTACCAGGTGCAGGGGGGAGGGCCCGTGGCGGGGCGGGGGGGAGGTGGAGGTGGGAGACATCTGTGTCGTGCGGGGGTCACGGAGGTCAAGTATATGTTAACAATGGGCAGTCCCGGCTCACTGGGGTGCGCGGGCAGGCAGGCGGCCTCCCTCCTGGCCTCGCCCTCTCTGGTGCAGGCTGGACGTGGGGCTGGCTCCCTAATGATGCCTTCCCCGGACGCCTGGGCTTGGCGGCCCGAGTGCCCTGCAGTAACCCAAGACGACCACTTTCCCTGGCCATCTGGAGCGCTCCTAGCTGCCCTGCCTGTGTCTCATCACTGGCTGGAGAGACAGCTCTGCCAGAAATCAAGCCACTCTCAGATCTCCTCTCTAATCCCCTTCTGTTAGCTGATTTCCAGACTGAATATTTGCTTTCGCATTAGATAATAGCCTTAGAGAAAACAATTATCATTTTCTTTTCCCCCCTTTGTTTTTCTACTTCTCCCATAGTATACCATTAAGAGGGATCTCTTTCCATCTCAGGGTTTTTTTTGTTGGATGTGTCCGTTACCCTTAGGCATTAATATCAAGACTTAGGAGGGAGGGAGGGAGTCCCTGGGGAAAAAGATAGGGTGAAAGAATTCCAGATATTTCCAGAACAAATAAATAATATCTCAGTGAAGAGGGACGATAATTTGTACAGAGCAAAAAAAAAAAAAAAAGGCTTGGATGGCAATGAAAATATTAATATGTAGGTCAAATATGATCAGATAATGGCTTGCAATGATAAGTCAAATGAAATCTTTTAAAATTATTATGGAACGGTGCCATGACTGCAAATGTTATTGTATTTAGTGGAACAATTTGAAATCCTACTCTTAACCATGTTTTCCCCAACTGGCCTAAATCAATGTAAAATATCCTGCGTGCATGTTTTTAAATCTCATCTTTACAAAGGAAAAAATGTGTAAGAGACTCAGAGTCAGCCTGATGCACTAAGAACTGATGAGACATTCRTGGGTTTATTTTTTGAAGTGGTGTTTCAAATATTTACCAGAGAGTAAAATCCCTTCCCCCACCCTTTTAAGCCCAGCTGGAGCTTCCAATTCTGAAGTCTTTTCAGACTCTACTAATTTTTAGCAATTCATTTCCAGAAAACACTCATTGTACATTCTGCCCTCTCCTTGGGACATTTGTCTAATGAATTATAATGAATTAATGAATTGTAATGTTAAGTCTTGGTATTTGGTATTATAATGTTCTTAATATGAGTCTCCAGTTTTATCAAGGTGTGCAGTCTATAGTAATTTCTGCATTTGTGATTTTTGGATATACTTACAAATGTTAACATAAAATATATTTTTCATGTATATTCTACTACTATAAGTCTTTTGTATTGGAAATTTTGTCAAAGCCTACTAATCTATTCTTAAAATAATCAAAAACATGTTGATATTTTACTATCTGTATTCTCTTCTGTCCCCTATATTGGAAGTCAATAATTTGAATTTTGGAATTCTATACCCATACTTACTTAAAATTAATAACATTTGAGTCCCAGGAATGATTCTCATGAGCTAGTGTTAGTTTCAGAGTCATATTTTAAAATTTAGAATTAAAATAAACCAACAATATTTTTATGACATAAAAGGGGGGAGAAATGAAATGTATAGAACACTGTATTTTTCTTTTTCCTATAAATTGTGCTATTGTAAGTATGAAATCATAATGGAAACTATGAACTTCTAAATCAATGGAAATAACTTGCAGGAAATCAAAACAGTTTTACACATTCAGGTTGTATTAGTAACACCAGGTAACCAGGTATATTTTATAAATTCTACAAATCTTATAGAATCTTCCCTTTGTCCAGTCATATTTTTAGAAAAGTAATGTTATTGTTTAGTTATACTTCCTTAAAAAAAAAGTTCTTTACTCAATCTGGCTATATATCTTTAAATCTAAGATTTTTTTTTTTTTTTACTTTCAAATAACATCAACTGAAAAACATAAACATACCTCCTTGAGTAAATGTAGAAGAAAAGACTCAGTATATTCCTAAATCCCACTTGCCACCCCTTTGAAAGGCCTGTATTCTACAAAATGTAGAACATATTTTTCTATGGTGTATATCCTAATATTATCTCCCAAGCTTTTTATTTGGAGCATATAGTAATTATAGGGGCCAACTCAAGCTTGAGATGATGCTTGAATTGTAAAATCTAGGAAAATAAAATATTAAATGAACAGTCAGGAGCTCACTGATGCTGTGTGGAGGGAGGGTGGGAATTACCTGTAAAACAGTATAAGTCCATAAAACATACGGTTACCTTAGCCTTGGCATGGAGGGCACATACCACATAACTTTCAATACACAATGAAGTATTAATTGATACATTCTTCTTAGTCAATCTAAGGAGACAGAGCTGAGTAAATCTTCCTATGTAGACACTCTTGACAAGAGAGATTTGGTTTCTAAACCTGGAAAACTAGTTTGTTCAGCAAAAAGGAAAAGTATTAAAAAAAAAAACCTTCAAATTAAAAGAGGAGATTGCTTAGGAATATAAATACCTACCCATCATGACAAAACCATTAGCTTAAAAACAAAATACACAATAATGTGTTAAAACTATTTTTTTAAAAAAGCCCTTACTAGCAATTTTCTTCTTCTCACACTCTAGGAGGTTTTTYGTTTGTTTGTTTGTTTTTCTCACATCATTAAATTTTTATTATTATTAAAGTACTGAGTTCTTTCAATTTACAGGTTTATATTTTTTTAGTAATGCTGCCTAAGGATGCTTTTTGTTTTCCCTCAAACCAAACCTAAAAAAAAAAAAAAAAAGCAGAGCTTTCAATACAAATTTCAGATGAGTGCTTATTACCTTCTTTAGAGATGTGTGATTCACCTCTCACAAAAAGGAATTCCTATACAAAATGTTAACAAGTACTTAATTAGCACTTTTAAAATTCCTTCTTGTAGATCTTAAAGTTTAAATGACTCCCAAGCTGTGATTTTCTATTCCTTGAAAAAAAAATCCTCCTGTTTGCCTAGGTTGAGGAAAATCCTTAATTACCACATTACTTACTTCTAACAAAATTATTTATTATTGTATTTGTGAAAAATGGAATATGATAAACATAAGGAATGGCAAGCCATAATTAAGTTTTCATAAATTTAGACTTACCCACTATTTGCAATTTCTTTCCTTTTTGCTGTGTAATTTTATGTAATTTGCTTTTTGAGCTCTGTGTGGGCAAGTTTTATTTCAAATCTTTGCAATTTTGTTATTTAACTTGTTTAATATTTCATTTTAAGATGTAGACCAAAAACTAATACATTTCCAAGATCCTTTATTTTATTTTATCATAGTTGGGCTACAAATACTTAGTAAATGTTTAATGCATAGTGTAAATCTATTACCTGTTTGGAGACTTAGCCTAAACAATATTTTAAAAATAGGAAATGTATAAGGTAAACTAAAAATGACTCTCATCATCCCCTCAAGTAAAATGATCAGTTTAGTATAATTTAGCTGCAAGACTACAGACAATGAGTTTGATATTTATTTATGATTCCTGTGTATTCAGATAGTCATGTGTGTTTTTCTGAACTATGTGAAAACCAGCTTGCATCCAAAAAGCCAAAGTTGCAAAATCTCAATTACTTTTTTAATTTGAGAAAAAATTAATTTGGGGAAGTTTTACTAAATAATTCACATTAGTGGTTCTTGTAAATGAGTTTTGCTTTTTAAACATTTATATTTGTCAGATTTTGATATATTAAACTCAGCAAGAATGATTTATTGCATAAAATAAAACACATGCATATTTGCCATACGTGTGTGTTTATGTGTGTATATCTCTGCATATAAAACTATCTGTAATCTCATAATTATCTCATATGACTATTTTTAGTTAATGCATGAAAGAAAAATAGTGACACCAAAGAAAATGTCTTCATCTTGTTTCTTTCTTAAGTTGAATAGTTCTTGCCCCCTTTTTYTGGAAAGCTATACACCAGAATAAAATCAATGTGAACTTCTCATTGAAATTATATATTCTACCTCTTTTAAATTGAATACGTCCAATGAAGACAGTGATTAATTTTTTGCTGCATTTATCTAATTGGCAGTTATTCTGTCTATGCAATTCTCACTTAGCTGCATTCTTATGTCTATAACTGCACAATGCCAGGATCTTTGTTTTTGTTCACTGTGCAGTGCTTGACACATAGTAGGTGCTTGATAAATATAGGTGGAAGATAAATTAATAAAAGMTTGAAATGTTTCCACTTAGATGACTGACCTGACTTCCTTTTGACTGAAGAATTGATATTAAGAAAGCTAAGATTTTTAAGACTACCAAGAGTTTAAATGAAGAACCTATGGAAAGAAGTGTCTTCCATCTTGTTTTATGTGTATGTCAGTACTTCCTGACACGTGGTGAACTTTATGTGAAAAAATATGTATTCTGATTGTTTTTGTTATGTGTTTAAAATTATTTAAAAATTCTATAAGTCAATTTTTTCCCTGAAAATTCAGTTTACTTTATACAATAAACTAGAATTTTTTTTAAGAATAAAAAGTGCCATGGAAAAGAACTTCAAACCAGCAAGATCTGTGAATAAAATAATTC